CTACATCTAGGAAGTTCGTGGTCCTAAAACTACTCCGATATAGGTTTTCTACTGAGGGAGCTTATACCGGCGGGAGCATCGAATCTTTTAATTACTTAGAAATGGAGATACAAAAGCAAAAGAATGAGTTCTAGACAAACAACCTGAAAATACATCAAAAAATCAATCCATATATCTTCTTACATTGAGACATGTATACAACATCTTGTATGGCCACCCATTATGATAAACCACCACACCTACTAGCCAATCAATGGTTTTAGCAGTGGTTTTAGCAGGAAATGGCAAAGCTTTAGAGAAGCACAAGAGATAGAAAGAAAGACTAGACTGTACAAGATTCTCACATACATGGCTCTCTTTAAAGAAGGGATTGGATAAGGAGATGAGAGAATGGGAATAACACAAACAACAATTGGCTTTCAAATATGAAGGTGGGAGATTGATGAGCAGGTTCCATCTATTTATAGCATCAAGGAAATTAAAAAGTTTTAAAAGAAATTAGATGGTTGGAATTTGGAAAAAACCTAGACTCATGATAAGTCCAGTGGACTTTTGGGGATACCTAACTACCTATCCTTATCTTTTCTAACTACTTTCCATGTTTGTGTGTGCACCTCTAATGCAATAATGGAAGCAATGACAAAATGGAAGCATATGACCATACAGGAGTACACTATGCACTTGGTGCCTCGGACAAAATACTTACTGGACAATAGTTTCATGTATAGAATTGGGCACCCACTCTAGAATCATTAGACAAGTATTTTCAAAGAATAACTGAATTCTAAGTATCTAAAGAGTCAAATCTGACTATACCAAAATTTGGATGGTCACTGTTCGGTTCCAGGACGTTATTTTTGCGGGGAAATTTATCAAAATGCAATCAGGAGATGAATTGTTGCATGTTTTACCCCTTTCTTTTGATTTGATTTTAAAAATCCCATCAAAGGACAACAATCATGGGTTATAATAGAAGAAATTTTAGGGGTAGAAAAATGCTAAAATAGTTTATACTTCAAGTGTATTTTGATAAATTTATCTTTTGAGGTAGGTATAGAGAGTAACGTTCTTCCTAGGTCGGTCACTAGGTTTAGGAGGTCACATTTCCAAATTTCGGTCACTATTTTACTCGAGGGAGTAAGCGTATGTTATGCTCCGTAAGTAGCATATCATCTTTTAGCATTAAGTAATTGGATAAAAGGCAAAAGAAAGATGATGCATGACATGGAAAAGTAGTAGAGTCGTTAGACTTTTGTGTTTTTGCCCTTTATAATGGAGAATAGGTTGTTAGGATTTAGTAATAGAGAAGCTCTAAGTCAAGAGGAAACTCTCTTTCTTTTCCACATGCCAACTTGTTATACTTCCATTGCTTTGCTTCTACTCTTGTATTGGCTACTCCAACCTTTCAATTAATGGCTCATGAGAATTTGCAAAGAAAAGGGCATTTGAATTTGGGTGAAGATGAGCCATCCACCGTCCATTCTCATCGACAGATGGGCAAGATAGTCCTGCATCCACTCCTTCAATAGAACAAAGAACTCATCCTGGCCATTCATTACAATGATGTTGTAACATGTCTAGCGCAAGGTCCATTCATTTTAAAGCACAAAGAACCCACTCAAGATTCATAGTCACAGGTCGATTCATCTTATGACCAATTGATCAAGTAATTGGGTCACGTCCATTCATTTTAAAGCACAAAGAACCCACTCAAGATTCATAGTCACAGGTCGATTCATCTTATGACCAATTGATCAAGTAATTGGGTCGGTTTGACCCAACGTTTCGCGACTGCCATATTCTATTGTTATTTGGAAATGCATGTAATGATACCTTTTATTTCTTATACAAAGATGTTACAATCATCATTGATCGTTAGATTTAAATTCGAGTAGTCGAGGATGTGATATTATTTAGGCACAAAGTCCAAAATAAGATTTTTTGAATATTGTGACACACTTTATCCATTGGATTACATCCAATGGCTAAAAGTGAGTGTGATCTCCTTGCATAAAAAATACATAGTCTCATAGTATACTGCCCCTTTTTTATCTTTTGTTTGTGCTAATTTTCAAAGCCAGCTATTTGTGCTTGTCTTTTACAAATGAACGACACAAGATGTGTTAACTCCGGATAGCATATGTACATCATAATTATATGCTTCTATGAGGCTTGTTGTCGTGGCTATTTGAAAAGGAAAAGTATACAATGAGACCCTTTACTTTCTGCACAAGGTGGTCACAATTAATCTTTGAACTTTGGATGGTTATAAGAAATTGTGACATCCTTGCATAATAAGTAAATGATTTCATTGTATACTATCATGTTTGAAAATCATACCCTAATGGACCTTTGATTAAGGACCATTTAAAATTAAATTTATTAGTATGCTATTTGTTTAATGGGTCACACCAGTCTAACTCAGCTCACCTTGGCTAGACACAAGTACATTTGATTTGGCCCTAATGACTAAGCCTGTCAAGCCCCCCAGCCCAGCCTGATTCATTGTGAATAGGACAATAGATCTTGGTATGGGCTTGAAGCTAGCCTAAATGGACTGGGGCAGTCGGGCTTAGTGATGTGGGCCTACCAATAGAGCTGAACATTATCTCCATTTGTGTTTAGACAAGTTGTCAGTACTCATATATGTGGAAAAATGATCATGCGAGACAACATGCTTACTCTATAGTGAAGATTGTTCCATAATTTAAATGTACAGATACTTGGCCTTTAAAATTTTCACACATGAATGTCTCATTTAGGTGATTAAAAAGAATAAAATAATAGCTTCATGTAAAAAAACATGAATCTTAGTGATTTATCCGATATATAGAGAAAGAGATAAACTTAAAATACAGTTTGTGTTCTTAAAACAAAATAATTAATTTTATAAAATATGAAATATGTGTGACTATTTTTAAATATAAAAATTAGAATACCATTTAAATGTAAGGTTCCCTTCGTTAAAGAAGAGACAGGGAAAGTTAGCTCACCACCCCAGTAATAGGGGCATGCTAATACAAAACATCAGGGCAGCATAAAGCTTCCTTTTACTGTTTATTAGTGATGGACTCGTTAGATCTTATTCCCTTCATGCGAATTAATTAATCTTCAATGGCCTTGGCGAAAAATGCTACATTTTATATTTGGGTGCGGTTTCTACAAGGTTGCAACCTTAAACAATCCAATTAAGGCGCACCACCAAATTTTATCAAAACATATAGTTTTGGTATAAAAATTTATTAGGATCATCTGAAAATCTATTTTTATATCTAGTTATAAAATTTTAAACTCCAAAAATAATTAAAATCAAGTAGATCTAGACACAAATGGAAATATTGAAAATGAATGGTCTAGATAATATGTTGCAAGATGCACTATTTTCTGGGACTCAAAATCTTTCTTTTTTCTTCTCTCATTCATACATCTCAATGTCGAGATGATAAATTAGAGTGTTTTTCAACATTAAAACAACCTTCTCCGATGGATTTTTTAGGTGCATCTGTAATTCTACGTTTTAAGGTTGCAACCTTATATAAACTTTTTCCTTCATGTTTCCTATCTTGCTCCTTCACAAATATGCGCAATATGATAATCCTTAAGAAGTATGTGAAAGTATAATATTGTTGTATAAATTATTTGTTTGGAATTTGATGTTATTGGAAATATCGATGAGTTTTTTTAATCATTTGCCATGTTTTTATATATAT